CTCCAGCCCGATCTCCCACAAAGTTTGTCTGTTCCCGAAGGCGACAAACCCACAAGGTCCTGATCCTCCTAATCCTCCTCCTTCTCCTCCTCCTCCTCCTCCTCCTCCTCATCCTCCTCCTCCTCTTGCAACTGCATCAAATGCGGAGCGAAGCTGCAGCCGTACTACAAAGGCCGTGCTGGCACTGCGGGCAGCGAGCCGCAGCCTGCGAGGCCTCCGTGGCGCAAGCCAAAGGCCGTCGATGGGGCAGCGGCAACGGCGAAGGCAGCAGCGATGTCAGCTACACCAAGCAGCAGGAGGCACAGAATCTCAAGAAGGCGCTCGAGATGCTCACCTCCATCCTTCCGGGCGACGCCATCGAGGTGGCCAAGAAGAACCTCGCTGCCAAGATGGTCGCCGAAGCGAGGACGAAGACCCCCACGCAGGAGGTCCAGCCCACGGCTCCCATCCTCAAGCTTAAGACCGCGTCGTTCCAGAAGGCAGCGGACACCCTCGTCAAGGCAGAGGAGTTCGCGAAGCAGGCCTAGGAGGCCCACCTCCACGCGGGCCAGGAGAAGCTCAAGGCGAAGCAGGACCACACTCTGGCGGTCCAGACGCTATCCACCACGGTCGCGGAGCACGGCCACGTGGACGACGCCACCACCAGCGACGGCAAGAAGGTCATCCTCGCTTTCGACATGTCTCTATTCAACCAGGGCCTCGACACAAGCTGGATGAGGAGGAGCGGAAGGAGCTCGAGGCCCTCCGTGCCTCCTTTGATGCCCACTACCAGGCCATGGTTGCCATGGTTGCGGAGGACGCCAAAATCAGAGAGCTGTGGGCCAAGATCGGGAAGATCAAAGACAAGTCCACGATCGCGACTCTCATAGATGCTGGCTGGGCGCCCGTCGACCGCGGCGTCTGGGTCTCCAAAGACGACGTCGGCTGGCGCCCCCTCGAGCGCACCCAGGACGGCTTCGCGGAGGCGGCGGCGGACCACGTAGAGCTGCTGGACGAGTACGAGCGCTCCATCGACAAGAAGCTCTGGAGGCAGGCGTCCCTGCACCAAGGCTCGACGGACATAGCGTGCGGCGCCGACGCCCTCATGGCGCACCGCAAGCTGCAGCGGCTCCAGAGTCGCGGCGATGACGACCTCTGGGTCATCGACGTGGCGGTCGCCTCGGGCGGCCAATGGACCCGCCAGCGCCGCGCAGAAGCGGGCTACGACGCCCTTGAGCAGTGCCCGCGCTGTGGCCAGGAGCCCGACACGCTCTTCCACAGAGTGCGGAGCTATCCTTGCAACACCGGCCATGAAGACTTCGACAAAGACGGCCCACCTCCTCCCTCGGGCGATCGCTGGCCACGAGGCGTGGCCCTCGCATTGGCTGCGAGGCACCCCGAGCGTCGAGGACACGACCCCCTCCGTCGACCTCGACCTCCCTCCCCACCGCTCCGAGTTCGGCGACTTCTCCCGAGCCCCCAAAGGCCCCGACGGGTTCCTCATGCTGCTTGGTGATGCCCCAGGGGGGGGGGCTTGTCCATTTTGCGCCTCCTCCTCCTCCTCCTCCTCCTCCTCCTCCTCCTCCTCCTCCCCTTCATCATCCTCCTCTTCCTCCTCCTCCTCCTCCTCCTCCTCCTCCTCCTCCTCCTCCTCCTCCTCCTCCTCCTCCTCCTCCTCCTCCTTTTATGAGTCACCATAGTGTGACCAGCGCCACGCCTATTTGACGTTTCACTTTGCTCACGCACCGGCCGGTGCAAGGCTTACTTGTCCCGGGGGGGGGGGGGCAACACTCTTCGGACCCGCGTCGCAGGGGAGCTGGCTCGGGAGCGCGCGCCCTCGAGAAGCCCCCCCAGCAGGTGGATGGGCGCCCGTCGCGGGCACCGTGTGCAGTCCGGAAGGCACCCGACAGACGGTCCCCAAGGCCAAGCCCATGGCGTTCATAGGGGCTCCCGACTGCTCGCAGGTCCCGCTCGGATATGTGGCTGACCACCTTCCGCTCATGCGCGGCTGGAACAGAGGTCGCCGCCTTGATCCGTCGCTCAGGTGTGTGAGTGCCGATCTCTGGTTCAGGATTGCAAGAGCCTCCAGAGCTCGCGGACCCGACCCTGTCATCCTCGAACGGACCCCCTTCTCACCGTGAGGCCGAGGATATCCGCACGCCGCAGGGCCTGTGGTGAGCGGTGGGCAACGAGTGTGCAGACGAGCTCGCCTCCAGAGGAGCGTCCATCGGTTGGTCTGAATTCGTCCAGAGAGTTCCTGCCACACCTGTGGCAGACACTGAGACCTCTTTGATCCGAAAGCCAGCGAGGAGGGCCCTGGCGGACCCCATTCGTGTTTGACCCCTAGACCAAAACCCGTCCCTCGGCCCCCCGCCCCGTTCGGTTCCCGAAGCTTGAGCAGGCCAAGAGAGCCTCCCATGGCGTAGGCTCGGCACGAGGTTCTACTTCAGAAAATATAAGGCTTGCGTGAACCGCTCCAGTTTTTTGATGTGGCCCCTTCGGTGTGTGCCCCTTTTGTCCCTCCCCAAGAATCGCGCTCTTTGAACGGAAGGCGGGTTCTGGAAGGGCAGGGCCCCATGCCCTACAATACTGGGGAGAATACAAACTCATCTTTTGCAGTAAGTGCGGGATGCCAGCGACCACCGATCCCAGGCACCTCTGCAAGCCTTGTGTGGCACCCACCCCCAAGGGGGAGCAGAATCTGGCGCGGACCACTCGTGGCTTCCACCCTTGTGTGAAAGGCCCACCCCAAAATTGTCATAGAAGACAATCTCGAGGATCTGCGCCATAAATTCCACAGTCTCGACGTTCGTTGTCGCATGCCCTATAATCCTATAGTCCTCCTCGTCGTCGTCCTCCTCCTCCTCCTCATCTCTCCTCGTCTTGATCCTTGGGGGCGTCCGAAAGCCTCTGGAGGTCTCGGAGGTCTATTTGGATGTCTCTGGAGGCCTTTGGGTCTCTGACCCCCGGGGCAAGCCCAAAACGCACCAAACACCCGGATCCTGAACTGAGGAAACACATTAGAGGGTGACTGGCTCAGGGGCTAAACATCGACGTAGACTCGGCGATAGATCGCCGATACATAGGCTCTCGATAGCGATCGGCCCAAGATCCGAACGCCAATACATCGGCGATCGGATATTGGGCAGGGTTGGCGATCAGGCCCCAATCAGCGGTGACTGGGCAATTGGGGGTCGATGCAACCGCCATGAGCCTGTCCCCCCCAAACGTTGCCCCTGATCGGTTCCCCCATCCGTTCCCTCCTCCTCCTCCTTTTCCTCCTCGTCTTCTTATTATTAGCAGTACTGTTCTCCTTCGTATGGTTATTATTCATATGATTGGTATTCTTAATAGTATTAGCATGTGCGTTCTTATGTTGCTCAGTAGTAGTATCCTAGGGAATGTAAGTATGCGTGTTCGTAGCACTCGTCTTCTTACCACTATTAGGCTTAATACTACTATGATTGTTCTAAGTATTAGTAGTATATCTAGGTGTCATGTTCTTCTTGGTCTGTGAATTACTAATCGTCTTCTCGACGTTAGTAGTATTAGGATTGTTCCTCCTCCTACTCCTCCTGCTCCTCCTGCTCCTCCTCCTCCTCCTCCTCCTCCTCCTCCTCCTGCCCCTCCTCCTCCTCCTCCTCCTCCTCCTCCTCCCCCTCCCCCTCCTCCTCCTCCTCCTCCTCCTCCCCTCCTCCTCCCCCTCCTCCTCCTCCCTCCTCCTCCTCCTCCTCCTTCCTCCTCCTCCTCCTCCTCCTCATCCTCATCCTCATCATCATCCTCATCCTGACCCTTCTCCTCTCCTGACTTCCGACGTGATATTTTCTTCAGCTCGTGGGCCCCCAGAAACTCTGGACCAATTCGCAGAGACCGTTGCTTGTCGTCCTAGGCCGTGCTGGCATGGCCACGATGGCCCAAGAGCAGCCTCCAGACGCTGGATCCCAAGACGTCCAACGATATGATGTTTCAATGGTCGGCCCCAGAGGTCCCGACTCCTTCCCCAGATGGCGTTGTTCGCCCCAGACGAATGCTTGATGGCCCCAGGAGGCAAGATCACGGATAAACGCCCGGACTGCAAAGAACATGTAGTCGAAGATCTGGCTCCGTCTCGTCTTTTCGATTAGCCAGGAATGAATGCCTGGGTCTCCAGAGGTTCCCGCGGCGGCCCCGCAACGGAGGCCCCGCGGTGGCCCCCGAGTGATGTCCGTGTGTGCGTGTGTTTGCGTTTGTGTGTATGTGTGTTTGTGTGTATGTGTAGTTGTGCGTGTGTATGCGTGTGTGTGTGTTGTTGTTTGTGTACGTCTGTGTGATTGTGTGTTTGTGTATATGTGTGTTTGTGTGTTTGTGTGCGTGTGTTTGTGTGTTTATGTGTTTGTGTGTGTAGGTGGGCTGTTTGTGTGTGTGATTGTGTGTGTTTGTGTGTGTTTGTGTGTTTGTGTGATTATGTGTGTCTGTATGTTTGTGTGTCTGTGTGTTTGTGTGTGCTTGCTTGTGTGTGTTTGTGTGTTTGTGTGTATTTGTGTGTGCGTGCGTGCGTTTGTGTGTTTGTGTGTGCGTGCGTGTTTGCGTGTTTGTGTGTGTGCGTGTGTGCGTTTGCATGTGCGTGTGCGTGTGCGTGTGCGCGTGCATGTGCGTGTGCGTGTGCGTGTGCGTGTGCGTTTGTGTGTGCGTGTGCGTTTGCATGTATCATGTGCGTGTGCGTGTGCGTGTGCATGTGCGTGTGCGTGTGCGTGTGCGTGTGTGTGTGTGCGAATGTGCGTGTGTGTGTGTGTTTGTGTGTGTGTGTTTGTGTTTGTGCTTGTTTTTGTGTGTGTGGGGTTGTGTGTTGTGTTTGTGTGTGTGTTCATGCTTACGGTCATGTTTATGTCTGTGTTTGCGCTTGTGTGTGTGACTGTGTTTGCGTTTGTGTTTGTGCTAGTGGTTATGCTTGTGTTTGTGTTTGTGTTTGCGTTTATGTGTGATTGTGTGTTGTGCGGGTGCGACTGTGAATTTGAGTGTGCGTGTGTGTGTGTATGCGTGTGCGGCCGGCGACCTCTGAAGGGGAGGCGGGCGCGGGGAACGACTGCGCGTGATGGGGGGGCGCACGCACGCGCGGGCGCGCAGCGTGGGCGGGGCGCGTCACGGGATGCTGGGCTTGGCGAAGTCCCGGGCCCCCCGCACTTTGTGCGGGGGGAGCCCTGTGGGAGGCCCTCGTGTGCGGCCACCGGCCCTCCTCCTCCTCCTCCTCCTCCTCCTCCTCCTCCTCCTCCTCCTCCTCCTCCAACTGCTCCTCCTCCTCCTCCTCCTCCTCCTCCTCCTCCTCCTCCCCCTCATTTTCCCCCTCCTCCTCCTCCTGCTCCCCCTCCTCCTCCTCCCTTCCTCCTCCCCCCTTCCTCCTCCTCCTCCTCCCCCTCCTCCTCCTCCTCCTCCTCCTCCTCCTCCTCCTCCTCTTCCTTTTCCTCCTCATCCTCCCCGTCCTGCCCCGTCCATTTCCCTTATGAACAACTCTTCCCTGCCTCGCCCCGATGCGCGTTGGTAGGGCGGGCCGGGCGTTTGGCATGAGACTTCCGAACATCTTATGATCCTTAAGCTGAAAATTTGCCAGCGCCTCAGAGATGGAAGGCGGGTCGTCTTCAAAATGTGGCTCTCGCTTCGGCGCCACTGACATTCGATGTCAAAAACTGGAATGAACTTCACGCATGGAGGGTGGGTCGTTTTCAAAATGCGGTTCTCGCCCCAGCGCCGCGGACACTCGTTTTCAAACATATGGGAGGGTTTCACGGATGGATGGCGGGCCATTTTCTACATGTGGTTCTCGCCTGAGCGCGGCGCACATTCGCTTTAAAAGTTGGCATCCGTTATCAGGATTCTCATGGCTAAACTCCAAGAGAAGTTTTGGCACGATGTCGGATTTCTGGGGCGCAACAGTTGTGGTGATTCGCGGTGTGGAAGTCCAAGGAATGGTGATTTGGCACGATCCAGGATTGTCAAGGCGTAACAACAGCTGTGATCTGCAGCCAGGAAAGTCCAAGGAATGGTGTTCTGATACGCTTCGGTATTTTCAAACGGTTGTCTTCCACAGGATCCGTTCCCTCATTGGACAATGAACCCTGGCATGGGCCTATGTATAACAAAAAACAAAAAATCGAAGGAACGTGTATTGCAAAACCGTTGGTACTGGTCCTCCTCCTCTTCCTCGTTTTCGTCCTCCTCCTCCTCCTCCTCCTCCTCCTCCTCCTCCTCCTCCTCCTCCTCCTCCTCCTCCTCCTCCCCCTGCGAAGGCCGCGGCGCGGGTCTTTCCGCCGCCCGCGCTCGCACCCGCCCTGAACTTCACGAGCAACGCGACGAACCCGCAGGCGACGTCGAGCGCGCCCCGGCAGCCGCCCAGCTGGGCCGCCGCGGCGGCGCGCAGCGCCGCCGCGCGACCGGCGCCGTCAGCCCCCAGAGCAATTTGCAGTTGCCGCGCCCTGGCCCAGTGGAGGGCCGCACTGAATTCGCGGCCCCACTGGGCAACCAGCTGCCCGGCGAGCGCCTCTGCCTCGGCCTCGTCGCCCGCCGCCAGCACGGCAGCCTCCTCCCGGGCGAGGCCGCGCACGTGTCGCAGGGCCGCTGGGCCGTGTCGGCCAAAGGTCTCCAGTGCGAGCGGCACCATACGCCAGGGCGCCTGCACACTGGGATATCTCCGGTGTTTGTCGCCCTCTGCAGCGGCGTTGACGGCCCCGTCGCGGTTTGCCGCGGCGCCATGCGCAATGGTCCCAGGCCGGGGCGTGTATCTCCTCTTCCTCCTTCTCCCCCTCCTCCTCCTCCTCCTCCTCCTCCTCCTCCTCCTCCTCCTCCTCCTCTCTCCTCCTCTCTTCTCTCCTCCTCTCCTCCCTCCCTCCTCCTCCTCCTCCTCCTCCTCCTCCTCCTCCTCCTCCTCCTCCTCCTCCTCCTCCTCCTCCTCCTCCTCCTCCTCCTCCTCCTCCTCCTCCTCTCCTCCTCCTCCCTCCTCCCTCCCTCCCTCCCTCCCTCCTCCCTCCCTCCCTCCCTCCCTCCCTCCCTCCCCTCCCCTCCCCTCTCCCCTCCCCTCCCTCCCTCCCCTCCCCTCCCTCCCTCCCTTCCTCCCTCCCTCCCTCCTCCTCCCTCCCTCTCGGCCAGTCGCGGGGATGGCGCCCCCGCTAGCTCTCTGGGGGCCGCCCAGAAGGGGGCCGTCCACGGTCCAGTGCCGCGGGGCAGGCCTCGTCTTGAGGCAGGCCCCGTTTTGCGACGCTGGCCGAAGGCTGCCGGCGCTCTCTGCGCCGGCCAGCCGGCGCGCAAAGGTCAGGGGAGGACGGGGCGGTGGAGAAAGGGACGGGCGAAAAAAAGCGGAGGCGAAACGCAAGGCGCGCGCGGCAGCAAGGGCGGCCCAGCAAGGGCAGGGAGAGGAAAGGAGAGGGGCGGCTGGGGGCGGGGGTGGTCGGGCCGGTGGTGCTAGTGGCCGTGGCGGTGGTCATGGCGCCGTCACTGGCCGTGGTCGCGGTCGTAGTGCTGGTCGGCGGTGGTCGCGGCGGTGAATGTGCTGGCGCCGGTCGTGGTCGCGGCGTCGGTGGTCACGGGGGTCGTCGTGTTCAGAATCGTCGTCGTGGTGGTGGTGGTGGTGGCGGCAGTGATTGTCGTTCTGTTGGCGGTCGTGGTGGTCTGGGTTCGCGGCTGCGCGGGCGGCCGCCAAGCCGTCACTGTCAGCCGGGATACCCCTGCGCGGAGCGTAAGTGGAGCGCACGCAAGTGATTACCCAGTCGACCTAGGCACGGCACCCTGAGGACGGCTTGCTGCAGCACCCCAGCGCGGGGGCGGCGACGATCCCAGGCAGGGGCGGCCTGCTCCATGGGCGCCGCGAAGCCTGTAAGCTCCTTGCGCTTCGCGGAGCGCCAGTCGCGGCACTCGTCGTGGCGCTAATTGCGGGGCGCACCCACCTCGCACTCGACTGCGCGCCAACCGCGTGGGCCGAGGGTCTCGTCGCAGAGACTTCCATCATCGCAGCGGCGCTGGCAGCGGGAGCCAGGCGGGGAGACTGGGACGCAGAGCCGCCACTTGAGGTTGCCACAGAAGTGCGCGTCTGTCTGGCGGGGGTCGCCTGGCTGGCGCGGGGGGGGGGGGGGCAGCTGCCTGCCCCGGCGGCTCCGTTCTCTCGCAAGCGGAGGCGGCGGTCCTCGTCGAGCGTCTGCAGCAATTTCACCCAGTTGGCCGCGGAAGCGGCTGTGGCCCAGTGCCCCTTTAGCTTCGGTCGCGGGTCCGCGGCGCATCCGATCCACAAAAAGGCGCCTGCAGAAAACCAGCGGCTTGGCGCGTCGCCTCTGCCTGGTCGATCGCCCGTTTCGCCCGCGGGCAGCGCGCCCGGAATTCCCCCAAGCGAGATGGCCCCGAGGCACCTCATGACGTCGCGGAGCAGGAGGGCCCAGCCGGCGGCGCACGCGGCGGGCGCCGTCAGGGTAGCCGAAGGGAAGGCGTAACCGCTGTCAGCGAGGCGCAGCGTGGCTTGGAGCGTTGCGGGGCGTTCTGGGGTCCGCCGGTTAGCTGCTCGAGGCAGCCGAAGAGAACTCGGTCGAGCTGCTCCGCCCTGTCCCCCTGCAAGTTGGCGCGGAGGCGGTGCGTGACGCATCCGCGAGCGAACGCCTGCAGGAGAGCGAACGCACTCTCATCCCCGAGGCCCGCCTGCCGCAGCTCTTGCAGGCGGGCGGCAAGCGCCGCGGCCTTGGCCACGGCCGCGTCCCCGTCTAGGCCGGCGTGGACGGTCACCCTCTCTCCCCCCTCATCCTCTCCTCTCCTTCTCTGATCGAGCCACAGGGCAGTGTTTCCCAAGCGCGTGAGGTGGTCCACCCAGCGCTCCTGAACGCTGGCCGGCAAGTAGCCGCGCCCTCCAGCGGACCACGCTTGGGTCTTGGTCTGGTTGGCTGCAAGGCCGTGCCACGTAAGGATGTTAATAACAAATTGCCTGTCTGCGTCTGCGTGCTCTGGTGAGACGAAGACCACGACGACGTCGTCGAGGTAGCTGAACACCCGGCAGGAGGGCGAGAGCGCCTGGAGACGCGAGTAGAGATCGTCGAGCACGTCTGCAGCGCCAACAGCGAAGAGCCCCGGGGAGAGCGGGCACCCCTGATCGACGCCCGTGCTGGCCCGAACGCGGCAGGCGCCGTCGGCAAGGTCGTTTCACCAGTAGCGCGTAGCGCTGGGTGGTTCCCACAAGCCACATGGCGGGTGCTCTGGAACAGCCGGGGCGCCCTCTTCCGTGAGCTGTCGATCACCTGCCACGAGGGATGCTCTCGAAGGCGCTGGAGGAGTTAAAAAACCAACGCGGCGACGCCGAGGGGGCGTGCCTCCGAGAGCTCGCACCCCGCCTGCCGTCCGACGGCGCACTGGCGAGGGCCGACCGCTCCTTGCATGTCGTCTCTGTAAACATCGCAGGCGACCCGCGCGGCAAGTCGGCGGAGCACGGGCCCGCAGGTGATCGGCCGGAGCGTGCCGTTGCGCTTGCGCTGGGCAACCAATCGGGCGCTCAGATTGGCGCGCGTCGCCTCCGGGCTGGGCTCGCCGAGCAGGAAGGCGACTGCGACCCTGCCAACCACCGCTAGGGCGGGGGCGGCGGCCAGCGGCGTGCGCCAGGGCTCAAACCTGCTGCCGTTCGGCCCCGGGTCAAAGCGTCGCGACCACGGCCACGGCCAGGGCCGCGCGAACGTCGTCGTCTGGCGCGGCAGGCGCTTGGAGGAGGCGCTGCTCTGGTCCCTCTGGGAAGAGGCTCTGGAGGCTGGCGTGAAAACCGGGCCCAGAGGCCAGCGCGCCGGGGCGGAATGCTGGCTGCATCGCCTTACTGATAAAGTGCTCATCCAGTAGGGACTCGACCGCCCGCGCGTCCTGCCTGGCCATTGGGGCTGCCTCCTCCTCCTCCTCCTCCTCCTCCTCCTCCTCCTCCTCCTCCTCCTCCTCCTCCTCCTCCTCCTCCTCCTCCTCCTCCTCCTCCTCCTCCTCCTCCTCCTCCTGTTCCTCCTCCTCCTCCTGTTCCTCCTCCTCCTCCTCCTCCTCCTCCTCCTCCTCCTCCTCCTCCTCCTCCTCCTCCTCCTCCTCCTCCTCCTCCTCCTCCTCCGCCTCTCCGCGGGCCGCGGCTCACGATCGTTGTGGACTCGCGCCAAAGCCCTACCCAGTCCCCCTGCTCGGCCATCCGCAGGCGTCGCGTAAGGACCTTGGT